GACAAAGATCAACACTAATGAAGTGGATGGGGATTGCATTGGCTGGGAGTAAAAGAATGGCATTGGCCTCATCCTCTTAGGGCCGTTTCTCAATGGCTGCATGTTGGCTGTGTGACGGCTCCATTTCATTTTGGCATGTATGTTTAAAAGTTTGAGCTTTCAAACAGCCAGTGTAAGCAACGGCTGTCACGTATCACAATCAAAGAGAATAGAGCGCAGGTGGCTCTTGCCAGACCAGGCAAAATGATAGACTGTCTCACCGTCCCTGTCAGGGCAATAAATATGTCTATGTGGGTAGAAGATGTCACAGTCATTTAAAAAACAAAGTATGGTTACACTTCCAGTCCTTTAAACTTGTATCAATCAACCTTTATTTGTATACCGCCAATGAATAAGAAATGTTATCTCAAGACACTCAAAAAAAGACCTGTTATAAAATGTACAAAGACCCAACTTAAATCTACAATGAGCATAGCAATAAGCAACATTTAGCAAAGTTGCAGTGGCAAGCACATTCTGCCTTTCAGAGGCAGAAACCTTGAGCAGAAACAGATTCATGGTGAACAGCCATCTGCCGAAACTGTGTTGGGTTATAAGACACTTGTAACAAACAGTGTATGTTGGACTCAGACGTGTATAGAGCTTTTCTAGTCTTCTGACCACTTAAAGTGCTTTTAGTGATTTCAAAAATGGTTGTGAACTGGTTGTTCTACTCTCTTTGGTCTTCAGGATATCTGAACTCTTTTGCTAGTGATGCATATGGGGCTATGTGATGGTCCCATACTGACTGACCAAGTTCCATTTAAAGGTGCAGCGCTTAGCTGATTCCCTCAGAAGGGGACTTGTAAGACTGTAAAGCTTCTAGCTCATATTGAAGCATTTCTAGAGTTGTCTTCACACATACACAGAACTCTTGAAAATGTCCCTACAATTTTTGGGGTTAGCCGATGCGTACGCTACAGGAAACATTCGGAAAATTCCCTGCAAGCAGATGAGGGTGATTACATTTTGGGTTTTTTTCCAATTTGTGCACATATTGAATCTGGTTCATATACTTTTCTTCTTCTCATTATATTTCTTTCAAATCATCTAGGCCATAACATAACATAACAGCATTTAAAACTTGTATTTATGTCTTTGTAGAATCCTAAATAACTGTTGAAGCTATGGTTAAAGTTGATGAATTTAGACTATAAATACTTTGTGTAACAAATATGGAGGCGATGAGAAGTAAGAGGTATGAGTAAGTTTCACAATTACAGCCATAGCATCAACATTAATGCCTCTGAAGCGAAGAAGACAGCTCCATGCCGTTGTATTTCACTCGGTCATCCATCTCCTTCAAACCATAGGGTGGGCTTTGTTTATTTCTAACTTTTAGCGGTCTATATCTGTCTGTTCAGCTCATATCTATTGGTTTATGATTCTTTTCCAGCTTGACAGTCTGTCCAGTGCATGTGCTGCTCGACCATCCAAGTCTCTGAAGCCTGTTCTGCCTCTTTTGCAATGTAATCAGAGGTGTAATGGGTGAAGTCGTTCCGCCCCTGAGCCCTTATTGTTGGTAGTAACAGAGCATTACCATTGCATAAGTTTAAGAGATTAACCAGATAAATGAAGAAAGAACCAAATAACAAAATACGTGCAAGGTTTTTGAAAGATGTCCTAGGTACTTTACGTTAATCAGGACTCAGACACAATGATCACAGTCAGGGGTAGGGCAAAGGTATTTTGATGCCCTTCGCAGCACAAGGTTTTCAGCAGGGCACATTAAGACCAGCAAGAAGCTATGCAGCACCACATCAACTGTAAAAACTGCAGTCTCCCCAGCATGAGCATTACATTTGTTAGGGAGGCCATCATATTAGCATAAAGACAGCTAACAAGATGTCCCAACTAATATTTATATTTAAAAAAAATAAACTACTAGCTGTATGAGGTAGTACATCAGCTCAGAAACACAAAATAATTGACGGTTATGTAACTTAGGTTCTCTACATACCTTTAGGAGCCTTGTGTTTGGTATGTCGGCCCTGGATAAAATATGGAACGTTGATCCTTTGGTGCATGTTGTCCCCATTTGCTCTTCCTGTGTTTTCCTGAGACGATCTACTGTTGTCACAGTTGTGCTCCTTAGCTCACCTGCCTTCACTTAGTCACACAGTACTTTTCCACTCACCCTGCCTCTGCGCCACCATACAGCTAATCAGCCAACTCAACTCACCTGTGCACACAAACTGCCTCTCATCTGCAATCAAGCCAGTATAAAAGCCTCTCCTGTTCACTGAAACACTGCCAGATCATTCTGTGTAATCCCATGCAAGACTTTCCAGCACTCATGGACAGATTCTCTGATGCAGACTCTGCCTGCCTTGTTACCTGGGAAATCATGTCAGCCTTCTGACTACAGGTTCTGCCCTGTTTCCTTTCTGCCTCTCCTCTTTTTTCCTTGGTGTTTCCCTGCAATGACACCTCAGAGTAAGTAAGTTTTCCTCCTTGCTCACCTGTTGATCACTGGATTATAGACTTCCCTTATATAATATTTACTGTGTGTGCATCCTGTGACATTTACTTTCTGGTTCCATGAACATTTCCCTGGCATTGTCCTGCTTTTTGACTTGCACTCTCTGGACTGTGATTACGTGGCCCTGCTTTCAGTCACGTCCCCTGCTTGCCCCTGAACCGTGAACTTTGAAGGCTTTATGTTTAAACTGTTTATTTCTGTACCTACTGAAGTTATCAATAATGTCATTGATCCCTGCTGCCGCAAATGGGTCCTTCGGCAACACGTTTAAACCGTTCTATCAATGCACAGGGCTAATGGTAAATAAGATATTTAGTGACCTGCTTTTGTCCGCAGTAAACCACAGTAGCCTATGAGCCTGAGCTCAGGCCGAACAGATCCTTGCCACACTCATTTGTAGAAGGCCACACAATTTTAAGACTAAGTATGGTGAAAGTCAAGTCAAGAGAGCCAATGGAGAGGCCCACCTCAGTTTATTTCAGGTCTTGGAACTCTTTCAGCCACTGACTATATGTAGGTGAATATGGGTACAGTGGGAAACTTTTCATTTGAGGGACACAAAATCAGGAAGTCTGCCACTTTCATCACAATTCTTATTCTATCACAATACTGTGTTCATAATATTATCCCTATTCTAAATTATGTTCCTCCTCCCTGCCATTGTCATTTCTGCTTGGATTCTGTAATATTATTCTCATAGTTAAAATGAGTCTGTCAGCCTGAAGTTGGCAAAATGTTTATACTGTTACACATCGGACATGTTGCTGCAGGAGCTGGGGATCGAACCTGCAAACTTCCGGTTGAAAGATAAGGAATCTATCAACTGTGCCACGGCCCTGGAAGTGATGTCATACCCACAGAACTTTTTTTACTAATGTTTTATTTCAGATGATTAGATCAGTGCTGATTTTTGGTAATGGAAGTACATGTAAAGATAAACACAATTACCCATTGTTCCACTTCACATATTGGTCTTCATATTTGCAGATGCGTAAGTGTTTATGGATACAGTATATGTACAGATCTGTGGATCTACTTGCACATTAACAAACTGTTTTGCACCAATCATATCTTCATATAAACAAGAAGGGGCAACATTCACAGTGAAGGAGCAGGCTGTGTAAGACGAGTAAAAGTGACACTTGTTATTTAGCTGATGTGAATATTTACATGTCTTTGTACTTGGCTTGCAGAGAGAAGTTAAAAAACATCTAAAGGTAACAGTTGAGAATAAGCTCAGTGGAGCTGAAAGAAACAGTGCTCCTCCTGCGCTAAAATGTTTCACCCTGTGACATACTCCCTGTTTTTTTCATTTGCACCATTTTACTGCAGCTGACCCCATTATCTGCAGCCTTTATCCCTTCCTCCCCTCCGAGTGTATCATCATCTACCACCTGGCAAGGTTTCCTCTGTTTATTCAGAGGGCAGCATGGTGTTGGACCTGAAGGCTGCCATTTCACAGTCATTGACCTTTTCCAAATTCAACCATCCGTGCAAAAAACATAACCAAAGTGAAGATGCACACAGACCTGCACATTTCAGAAAAGACATGCAAGCCTGAAGTTGCACTGGATGAAAAGCTAAACTCTATGTTATCAAAAGTGATGATGAGTAGATCATACATTTGAGTCATCTGATTTCGGGTCACATCATATATTTGTTGAGACACTTCATTTAGAGCCGAAATGTCAAAATCATGGTTGTACTTCTCTACGTGATAAGTTAGGGGCTCATCAAAGTTATCAGAATTATTCCTCTTGGATTCATGACTCGTATGTGAATTAAATGGCAATCTCAGAACTCAATTCTGATCATCATTGTTTCTCTATAGCCATTATGCTAGATCGCGTGGCTTAAAATCCTAAAACAGAGACACGTAGTGCTTACCAGCATCTGTCATTTCAAGTAACTGAACACTGTTTCAAAGTAAAACAACCTTAATCATCAAGTGACAGATTACTGCTGACAGTATAGTTTACATATGCTGTATTCTTAGGTGCACCACGGGCATTTCTTACACAGAATGAACACAAACAACTTGGGCTTTAATGATCTACCTCTTTGAGTTGTTTTGCTGCTGCTGTTATTTGTCCGGTCCCCACTGGTCATTAAAATAATGAAACATTTTCAAGGAAACACACCATGAGATTTTTAAGAGGCCATTTCTTTTCTTTGTTACTCCTTCACCAGCACTAAGAGAAACCAAAGTGCTTCTGAGGTCACATGAGGCCAGAGGTCGGACGTGATGGAATTAAATAAAGATAGGTGGCAGCCTTGGCTTATATATATATATATATATATAATAAAACAATGTATTATCCATGTAACCTACAACAGTTTAATGATTACATATTTTCAATAAACATTAGAACATATACAGTACATCTTAACTACAGTGGTCTATGTTCAATTAAAAATAAAAAAATAAACATACACTGATAAGAGTGGAAAATGTCCAAACAAGTAACACACTCTGAACATCAGGTTTCATTCCCTCACAAATGCAGGTCATCTGGATTCATCCCACTTGGCAATGTGCTCTGCAGCTGGGGAGTAAAATCAAACACACATTATTGACCTTGTTTTGTTGTTGAAAATGTGCATGGGGAGCACTAAAAAACAATGTGGAAAAACAGCTTTGTGTTGATACAATGAATGTACTTAGTGTCATAAATCCTCATTCATCCTTCAGTTCTACTCAATAGCAACTGAGGATCTGCTGAGAATGTACAACATTAAATACAAAAATAAAACGACACATATAAACACGCACACACAAAAGCATTACTTTGTGTCTTTGCTTCAGGCTGTGTCATATCCACTTATCATTTTATTGCTAATTAACACAAAACAGCTATGGAGGCTGAAATGAGCTGTGATGGGATGGAGCCCTCTGCATGCTCTTAATCAGCTGAATTTATGCATTTCACAGGGAAACTCTGCTTGTTTTGAGAGGAAGGCTCGGAAAATTATTGATGGCAGTTTTTCTTCTTCATAGCACTAATGCATTTCAACTCTCAAGTTTCTTTTACCCAAATGTTTTTGCTGTTTAGCAGAAACCTAAACTTAAAGGAGGACAATCAGAGATTTTCAAAAGGTGAAATAGTACAATAATATGAGAATGTTGTTAAACCGTTGTCGGAGCAACATTAAAGACATTTAGAGCAGATTTTGCTTTTAGCTATGAGTGATCAATAACAGATTACACATCAATTACTTCACACAATGACAAGAAAAAAGAATAGCCAATGTGACTGTCTCATCCCTCCTGATCATTGTAAGTGTGTGTGTCTAAACACTGGCGCCCTTTGAGGAGCTGACATCTATTGATCATTCTGAGGTTCTGGTGAGGTGAAGCACTGAGTGCCATTGATTAAGGTTGAATACCATTTTTAAATGTGTGGGCTGAAACGCACAGAGATTTTTCTGTTGTGTAAACATCATTAGAATACAAATTGGATTAATATTTAGCCCTCCACTCTGCAGTGATTTAAAGTGACTGAGGTTGTGAAATGCGAATGTAAAAGTAATTTTTTGGCACACTGGGTACGAAAATAATGATTCTAAAGGGAAGCTGAAATTTGAAGAGAAAAGCCACTCCCCACACAAATACAAAATTTTTCAAAGCACGTGAGTGATGTATCTTTGATTAATGTCGACTCAATTCACTCTTTAAAATGTGAAAGAATCAGTTATGTTGTTACACTTACAAACTGAGTTTTCCGCTTGCTTGTTTCAGCCATTTTAACTTCACTGTGTTTATTTTCTATCAGTAAGCACCCACATTGTACACCAACTTGAAAATCAGACATCATTTTGGTTTAAAGACAGCTAAATTATTAGCTGCTCGCCCTTAGTCTTCTTTCTGTCATCTGTTTTGTACATGTCTCAAAACATGTTTAAATATGTCTAATCTAAATATGTATTTCCCAAAACAGAGCTATTTGTCATGTATTATGTAAAAAACACAAAATACATTTCTGATTGGGGGGCATACTTGTGCTGCGACCGGCAGAAAGTCACATTTGTTTGTTTCTATTAGAAACATTGTCAGCAGTTCTCACTTATGTATATAGGCTAATCTTATAGTGTTTTTGTTTCGGTATGTATCTGACGTTGCTGTAATGTGCACTTTTTAATTTTATTACTAGTGATGTATATAACAGTGACCTGTTTATATTTCATGTTGACTCAGCACTTTATTTTAATGAAAGCTACTAAGAGCCTCAGTCAAGGATCTCGGTTGTTTCTTGAAGGCTGCTATATTCAGTGCCTCTTGCATTTTGCCGTGTTGGCTTTTTGGATGTACTTTTGTCTTGTTCTGCCATGCCGCGAAACCAATTGCCCTTCGGGGACTAAAAAGTTGAAGTTGAGTTAAATAATTCGCTGCTTATATCACAAATTCATCAGATTCATTAAATCTGTAGTTTGTGCTTCATCGGAGATAATGTTTCCATAGTCTTGTACTTCTTGTTTCACTTACACTGAATTCCCACTCTACCTGACTGTTATCTTGCTTCAGCTCAATGTTTGCTTCTGTTTCCAAGTGAAAACTCTTCAGATGCAAATCTAAGAGTCTAAGTTTTATCTTTCTATTTAGAGATGCAGAAGAGTATCTGGTGAACTATACAATACAGTAAACAGAATATAACCTTGAAAATATACACAGCTTATCAATATCACAACACCCTCTGTTTGAGAGACAAACATACCTCAGCATGCTGTAGTGACTACAGTAACAAAATCAAGTTTCTGTGTCCTGCTCCTCTTTGTCTTTGCCACACATGACATGAATGTATTATACTAGCAGGTTTTATTTTTATTTTTTTTAAATCTCCAATGAAATGTTGTATCATCCGTTTATAAAGGTTTTATTGACTTTACTTTGTGTAGTTAAATATTTCTTAAATATGTTTTTTTAATATAATTATGACTAAGTCTAATTTCATTTTTTTTTAAAACTACAACTAATACAGTACATGTTGAAAAGTAGACATTAGACTTAGTAATTTAGATAGACAGTCTCAATTGTCACAATCAACCGTGACCAGCTAAGGACATTTAGACTCGCTCGTTCTGTCAGGAGACAGGTCACATATCATCAACACTGTACGAACGTTTCCAGTGATGAGTGTTGGTGATACAGATTTGTTTACATCTGAAGAAATGCAGCAGAAAGAGAAACGTTTTTAGAGGAAAGAGAAAATAAAACAATGCTGTCAGTGATCAGCTATTGTTTTTCTGCCGAAAAATATATTAACAAGTTTGAGGTATCTTAAAACTTTCATTCACCCTCACCTTGAAGGAGCCTTACCGTGCTGGCAGATGTATCTGTTCTGTGTTTTACAGCGTTGATCATTCCAGTTAAAGGCACTTGATGCCTGTAGCTCTACGCAGTTTCCAAAACTAAACAGAGAAAATGAGGAGTAAATGACTCTATGTTGAGATTTGACTAGAAACTTCTAGATTCTGCCAATTAATGTGGTTGAGGGACAAAATAAAATACAGAATATATAGATAGATAGGAAACAGAAAGAGAGACATCTAGTGGTTGGCACCGGACATAACTGTCTCTTCTCTATTATGTCTTAATTTGACACAACTTTTGAAGATATAAAGTGCTATTTGAAATCTGCATTTAATTTCAGAGATTAAACAAATGGAAGAAACAACCACAATAATCTCTTGCAATGATCTTAAAGTCAGACATATTGTAGATCCACAGGCAGACAAAGCTGAAGATTACTAAAAAAAGAAAAAGGCCTGGAGCTCCCACCAGCAAAGTAATTTTTTACCCTTCAGATGATGTATTTTTATCAGTTGATATTTATCTGTGTTTGCACACGGCCCTCTCTGTTTATGATGTGCTCTGCAGAAGCTAATGTGAGTAAATGTGTCTCTTACCCTTGGTTGTCAGGTTGCCCAAAGGCAAAGCTGCTGAATCTGATAAAGGTGAAAATGTGTACAATCCAGAAGTTTCGGGTCTCAAAGTCGGTGTTGGTGACCTCATTGCTCGTCTCCAGTTGACTGAGATAAAACGCCAGAATGTCCTGAACCTTCTGATTGTGGATTAGAGCTAAAATACCCCCTTTCCCCTGGTGGTTTAAACAAAAGAGAGGTGAAACAGAAAGCAATATATTTATATAATGTGGATGTTTGATGTGCAACAGCTGTAGAGTTTACTTCTTTTCTTAGATGGCAACACACACCTGCCTCTCACCTGACAGAGAATCTTGGCTCCATAGTAAGTGTCTGTTTCTGAAGACACCATGAAGCAGTCGCCATCTATCATCACGTCACAGCTGTGGAAGGGATACTGCACCTTTTCTGTAGGGACACAAACTGCTAAAGTACCCTAAACAAAACTGACAACAATGGTAATGACCATCCATGATGGCCCAGGTTCAATAAACAAACCTTGACTATGTTGTATTCTTATAAGAGATAACAGTTTTAAATGTGGACATATCTTCAAGTGTCCATGGAGATTATTTAACAGAAACCAAAATTAACTTAAAGGGAATCATTTTGTAACAAATCTGGCAAGAATTGAATATCACCTAGATTAAATGAATTCATCCAAATCATTTCTACTTGATGAACGCTGTAACCAGTTAATGGTTTAAGATGCCAATAATATCTTTAACAAATCATACTGGTGCTTCTACAATTTGTCTTCACTGTTTCATCTTGACAACAGACTCAGCATCACAGACAAAAAAATATAAATGATCTGTAAGCATAGACAAATACTGGTTTCAATGTATAAGCCAATCAATGTCCCAGAGGTACATGAAAACACAAAAGAAGCACGCTACACTCACCTGCACACTCAGCTCCACCATAGCCAACATCGCACAAACAAGAGCATTCTTCTTCTTTGAAACGGCCGTGTACGCACTGCACACTGCACCGAACTGAAAACAGACAAGTAGAGTGAAATTTGGATCCCTGCTTTAAATATTACAATCCTAAAATATAGGCAAGATCTAGTTTTGAGGAGGTGTAAATGTTTATTCTTCTGACACGACTGCATTTACCCTGGCAGAGGCGTCCAGTGAAACCAGGGTCACACTTGCACTTGCAGGATGTAATGTTGAGATGGCCGTTCAGCCCACAGCTCATACGACACGGATTCTTTGGAATCTCTGAAAATAAATGTGCATGCAGACCAACAAACATGCACAAACAAACATGCTCAATGCACTATAAACAGCTGGAAATTGAACAAGTATACAGTTATCAAAACCAGTAGACAGTAGTGAAGCAACACAACCGTGATGCCAGTTAGAGGTTATGAGTAGAACAAGGTAACTTATAAATGTCAAACGTACATTGGAAATAATCGGCAGAGAAGAAAGCCATCAGTATGCAGAAATCATAAATGTCCATATTTGCTGTCACTGTGTAATTGGACTTTATTTGGATTGTTAACAAACAAATGTTAATGACGTCCAAGGTAGATTTACAGAAATGTCCTCATGGATCATAATGGACATGTATACAAACTCTCTCTTTCAACGTTTTATGTGTATAATCTAATGTATTATCTTCATCCAATGCTTTAATGAAACCTCTTTTCTCTAACACAGACCTCACTAAATGTTCTCTCTGCAAGTTCTTCTCAGTGTCCAAGCAAAGCTACATTTTTGACATGAACTGTTTATAAAGGTTGCAAAATAAGCAATTCTTGCTGTGATTGGACATTCAAAACATATCTACACAGTATGGAGATATATATATATATATATGTATGTGTGTTTTGTCTTACCACATAATCCACCCACATGGTCCCACAGTCTAAAGCAGCCAGACATGGAGGAGGTGCAGAGAGAGCAGTAAACCCCGGTCTTGTAGGGCGTCACCAGCCGACCATTGACCTCCCAGTTACCCCTCCAGCAAAAAAAAGAAAAAAGGGTAACACTTTATAATAAGGGTACATTAATTAACATTAGTTAAGGCATTATTAAGCCTTAACTAATGGTTACTAACAGTTAACAAATGTGTCTAGTAATCATTTATTAAGGGTGTTCATGTTAACTACGGTATTAATTAATACATTATTTAATCCTTATTAAGGATGCTATTAACATTAGTTAATGCAGTAATGAGCCTTAATTAACTGTAAATTCATACAATAATGAACATTAAGAAACCCTTATCAGATGTCTCTTGTTAACATTAATTAAGGGTTTACATGTTAATTAAGCCTATTAACTAATATTACTAAATGCATGATAAAGATATTCATTTAGATGTCTTGAGGTTCACAGCTAAGTCATGTCATTAAGACAGAATAATTGATGTTAAACTTATTATAAAAGTACTGAAACTACCAGGACGCAGTAGTGACACTAAAAATATTATTCAGGGGAAATAATGTAAACATAGATCGAAATCACTTTTTCCCTTCATACACAGACTTTCAAACTCATACTGTATATAAATAATAATATAAAACAGCCAAGAAGATTAAAATAAATGTTTTTTGTGTAAAAATAAGCATCTATGTAAAACGTTAAAACTGTTTACATCCTGTGTTCAGTTGAACTTAACATTTTCATTTGAGGGACAAGTGTGTTATTGTTACCCAGGAAAATATGCACAAACAAACATCTCCCTCAGGTCGCCTTCTCTCAGACACAGCTGGGTGGCACAGCCAACTTGATTTGAAGTGGCCCACACCATCTAACACGACAAGAAAAGTTAAGACCCAACCAATAAGCATTTGGAAAAACAAAACAAATGTGGATATCTTTGAGGTATCTGTAAAAGTAAGACTCCTCATCTCTGTGCTAATACCTGTGTGTAGTGTCGGCAGGTGGCATTCTCTCTACATTGCCCACTCAAGAAGAGAAAATTGTCTTCCTCTTCAAACCAAGAGTCGATGACATCAGAAAATGAGTTGACACCGTACGGCGAAAGATGTGCGTTCCAGCCAACGTGACTGACAGCTGAGGAGTGTTGAGGGGAGGGGTCTGTGTGACACCATGCTGCTTTCTCCTCTGCAAGCAAGGCCAACTTCTCATTCCACTCCTTTAAATACACATAATAAATAATATTACAACACAGCCTTCATATGTAATAATTACAGTAAAACTTTCTGAAGGAAAACTTCACATATTTCTTTCTTCTTCTTTGGCAGTATCTTTACCTCCTCTGACTGGTGTTAGGTGTGAAGTTACATTATTGTAATGTCTGACTAAATTCTATAAAAGCTTATAAGATCTCTCCTATATAGTGTGTGTGTGTGTGTGTGTGTGTATATATATATATATATATATATATATATATTATATATATTTTTTGTTTATTGTGAACAGTGTTGTCAGAAAACTACAGCTTTTCCAGAATTTTACTTTCTCTTTACAATATAAATACTGTTTTCAAACACTGACATACACAGAGGCATGCTGAACCTTTTTCTTTTTTTAAAATAATACATTATTTATAACCTAAATAGATAAATTAAATGGCAACGCCTTTACATCTTGAATTTTTATGAAATACTAAGATATATAAAGTATGTCTTTTTAAGTTGTAGCTTCTCCATGAATCTGAAATAAAGGTTACACTTTACTTTATCACTTTACTAGATTTGTATTAAGACTTGAATGAAAGAAAAACTTTTTGGCATGAAGGTAATTACTGAGATTACATTACATTTTTCTTCAGCCCCTCAGTCCTTTGTAGAGTCAGCCAGTGGGCAACACGCAGCGAGACACTTTGGGCAAGCTGCCAGTCTTTGGCAGGTCCAACAAACACGGACTGACACTTATTGTGTGCCACATTATAAAAACTTCATAAGTGGACTTCTTGTAGGATTTGCTAATTCCAATAAAAGATCGGTACCTACTTAAACGTTCCAGAATTCCTCTTCTGTATGTACTAGTACAAACATCCCATAATCTATTACCTAAGACACCAACATGTTTGATGTTTATCACTTCACTAGAAACCCATTATTTGTTGCCTTAAAAAAAATCTACTGTCATACAGCTTGAAGAAAACAACTGTGTTTTGTGTTTGGAACACCGGCATGAGGAAAGTGAGCTGTGTGGAGTAGAAACACAGAGCTGCCTTCATTGTTCACTCTGCTCTCTGATGTCAGCCAGAGTCATGGACTCACATTTTGATGCCACCAGACAGTAGTTCATCTCAGATGATTTCATTTTAAAGTATGCCATGTTGTATCAGCTGCAGGATTTGAATGTCTCAGGAAGATATATATGCATTCAAACTCTGTTCCAAGTTTTTGTGGCCTGGTTGACAACTGCTATAAATGTATATGATGTGCTAAATCAATAAAGCTCCATATTTCTCTCCTGTTTTCATCTTCACCTTAGAAACATTACTATGAAACGTTGGAGCTCAGACAGTGCTCAAAGAAAAGAATAATCTCACAACATAAGATTTCTATCTCAAAAGTTATTACTGGACTTGGATATCTTTTCTCTTAAAGGACTTCATAACCTCTTAATAATTCCTAGCCTCAAGAACTCAAAGAAATCTGCAGGCAGGGCAAGAAAGGGGGAGCATCATTCATTCCTAAAGTATTGGTATTTTATCTAACCCTGAAAGTAAAGCCTAAAGGACTATTTTATAATCACTTCAGCACAATCTCATCATAATGCTAACTGGTTCATCCTTCAGTGAAAAAAAGAGCCCTTATTCAAAGACTCACAAACACAGCAGAGGCCTTGAGCCTTTTAACGTTTATCAGTAAACCACAGTTTTAAACACAGAGTGATTATCCACATTGCCTTTTTCTCATTACCGCCTTATCAGTGGAGAACAGTTCTGTGAGGCTGAAGAGCAGTCGAAGAAAAGGGCTCAGTCTGTGCGAGTGGCTTTGAGGATGTAATCTATGATGAAGTGACAGTCTGAACATATTAGGGCCAGAGGACATGTAGTGCATTATGAGTTTCTTAATACATCGTTATACCTCTTGGTCATATACACATGCAGGTAATGCTGTGATGATGCAGATAAAAAGTGTAAGGCAAAGCAATAGATGGAATAAGATAAGGAGAGGATTACGTTAGAGTGGTTTGTGGAGAGTGGGATTAAAAACAGCTGAGTCAAAATGTTACATGTAGAATACATGCACATTCAGCACAGTTTGACCTTTACATTCTTATCATAGTATAAGGAGAATTAAACATTGCTATGTCGCTTTGTTTACATTTTATTCTGGTAAAGGTATATATTTTGTGTGCAACCCTCACATGACCTTGCACAGCTAATTCACTTTGCTGCAGGCAGTTTCATCCCCGACAGAGCAAAATGGTGCGGTAACTCTTACTCATAGACACTATCAGAAGTACAGAGGAAGAAAGCTCAGGTTAAAGGAGAATATATTCTGATATTTGATATTCTGATATGTTTTAAATACTGACCTATCTCTACATATTTTGTGGTCTCAATGACTTAGAGGGTCAGTAAACGGTTTTGGGAGTGCTCCAGTGACTGCTTTAGCTTGCAGCCATAAAATGTGCTGCAAAGGCTGCAATGTGATCCTTAAATAAAAATAGCCCAATCAAAGTAGGTTCCACTAAAAGTTCTTCTTAATGGCACCAACAGGCTCAGGTTGTTAATGTATCTGTCTCACAATATTTCAGAAAGACATAATCTTTTTTAACATCTCTTTAAACCCATCAGACTCCATTGACAAAAAACGGTCATTATACATGAATGCATTTGGGTGCCTGGTATTCTGCTGCCTTGATTGGTTAGTTACTTGTATGTTTTGTGTTAAACACATATTATGCTTTTAAAAACGAATTATTGAAAAATTAAAGTCACACAACAACAAATACTAACAAACCAGGATTTCCCAACCTTAGGGTTCTGACCCAAGCAGGGTCGCATGGACTTCAACTGAGGTCGTCTGAAATGTTTATTTATTAAAATATATTGAACAGAGTCTTGAGTCTGGTTGTTGTACGTTACATGTCCTAACGAAAGCCTATTTGTTTAGCTTTCATTTAAACATATCTCTTAAGTAATTTTGACATTATGACAATACAAAAACGGAACAAAGAGGCATTTGTTAGGACACTTTCGGTCGCGTTTGTCTGAAAGTCAGTTAAGTTAACATGGTCACTCTTTTAACTGTAACACCAGATGTTGATGATAAATAGAAGAGAATCCCTCTCCTTACACCGCCGTGGGATGAAAGTCAACAAACAGTCAGCTTTATGTACTATTGATCGGTCTGGGTCGATAATGCTGCTGTTTAAGAAGTGAAGGGCAAGAAATTCCTCATCATTCAAGCATCAGTGAGTGCTAATTAGCTAACATTAGCTAGTGAGCGTTAGCTAGCGATAATATCAGGATAGTATCAGCTGTCAATTTTAGTGTTCTGGGGCAATAATTTGAGTTAAAGGCAGGAATATTTAGCTTTAGTCAACACAATAATTGATGTCAGGATGAGGAGAAGTCCGATGTTTCCCCTCACAGGGGCTGAAGAGGGTCTAAGTGCAGTAACACACAAACGTCCTCCTTTCTGTTTTTCTTCTCAGATTAAATTTTGTAGAAGCAAAACTCAGCTCGTCTCCTTGTCGGTTAGTGTATCATATGAATAATGTACATGGAAAAGCCTAAATGTGCTTTAAAATTGAATATTTACTGGAAAAACAACAGAAAACATATTAAATGATAAAACAATAGCCTATATATAGTCAAAAGTGTGTTTTGGATATCTGGGGTCATGAGAGTTTTGTGAAGGCAAAGTGGGGTCACAAGCCAAAAAAGTTTGGGAACCACTAAACTGGTTGAGGAAGACATAAAAAGACCGTTTTTGTCAATGAAGTCTGACGGCTTTGAAACAAGCAATGTAGAGGATACAGAGGTTGTTCTGATTTACAGGCGTTCCATCAATATTCCTATTTCTTGGCATTGTGTCAGCTGTAAGCTGTATTTGGACTCAATTGGTTAGACTTCAACAGCACTTTATATTCAAATCTCACAAAATATATATAAGAACAATCCAGCCGAAGATTTCTGCCTATTTAATAAGGCAGTTTTTTCTTACCACTGTAACTTTTGCTGCTTTGCTAAAGTGCTCATGATGGATAGGCCGGGTCTTTGTAATATAGCAATAAGTAATGTCTTTTACCTGCTTTTTGTAACATAACAATGAGTAAGGTCTTTGTACCTGCTCTTTTGTAATGTTAACAGACAAAGAGTAAGGTATTTTACCTGCTTTTTGTAAAGTGTCTTGAGATAACACTTCTTATGAGTTGACGCTATACAAAATAAATTGAATTGAATTGAATTGAATATAGAGTCTACAGTATCCTACAAGTGGACAATATGCCACCTCAGTTCTCTTCCCAATAGTGCAGACTGTTAACAAATGGATGATGTCAAACTTCCTTAAACTCACATTAAGATGACAGCATGCATACCATTCAGAGAAGAAAAAGACAATAGATGCCACGAACCATCTTTTGCATGTTGGCTGCCATGGGTTTGACCCGGCTGCGCAGTCTATTGTGCTGAGCAACAATCTGCGAGTGCTCCTTCACTCCAAGCCCTGCAAGAAACACAAACGCTCCGTTAGTGTAGCTCTTCTACTGTCACTATGGTAACACAATGCAAATGTGCAGGCGGGATGTTTGAGTGAGTGTCAAAGAGGGTTGGGAGTTACGCATCTTCTGTTACGCTCAGTTAGGTCATACTCTTAACACTATAACACATAGTTTCACAAATTTTGTCTACAACAAGCATTTACCGAAAAGATTTGAAGGTCCTGCTTTTCTGTTGATGTGAAATCACATGGCATTATGCAAATTAGGCCTATTAGGATACTTAATCTATAGCCTACATTAAATCATTTCACTGGTGATGTTGATTGAATTTAGGCTATTTCAAAATGATTACCATAACCTATATGATATTGTATTGTGACGTGATGTAAAGGCCTATATTTGTTAAATATATTTTAATAAACGGTCACACTTGAAGTAGTAATAATTGTTTAGGATAGGCTGTATTAACAATTAAACTAACCTTACTTTTACTCACAACTAAATCCTGTATTATAAACACTGCTCACAGATATGGGGGTCCCTCCTTGGTACAGTGTTAGTGTTAGCCTATCTAAAATCATTTCATCACATTGATGTAAAGGCACATTGTCAATGAATAAGATTTAAGCTTACAGACATTGATCTGTTGACCATTAGCTGCTCTTACTCCTAAAGTTACTCTACTGTGGTCTACATCTGAGCACGTTTCACCAGAAACTTAATGATCTGCCTTGAATCAGGTCCTCAGTGAATATTAGTTCCCTGTGTTTGGCAGAAATTATTAAAATGGTTATTTAAAAAAAGAACTACTAATAGACTTGTGTAGCAGAGACAGGTTTCTGAGGAGGAGATCTGGAGAGCTAAGCACACTTGAGTGTTCAGCATAAAAGATTGGAGCCATGATGCCAGCATCCCAAAACACATCCTGAAACGTGGGCTTTAATTTAAAAGTAAAAACAAAAATTTAGGGTCTACTGTCTTCTTAAAAGTCAAACTGTGCGCAAGTTTTTAAAAAACAGTTCATCCTGCCGGTCTCGTCTACAAAACATGGTCCCTCGTGGCCACCTGACCTATGCGCACTAGTAATGTGTTTACCGGTGATGGTGGACCTCTGCAGGTCAGGCGAGTCCCTCGTAATCCGGTTGGCGAAGATAAACGGAGTTATAAAAGACCAAAGGACGAAAAGAAACGAACAACGTGACGCTGCTAGGTAGTGCATCGTGCAGTTTCTCAAACCAACTGCGGCCACTTTGCTCCCGACCCCTCTGTCTCTCCCCTCTCCTCCTCCTCCCTCTTTTCACATCTGACTGGAGCAGCGTCATGCCTCTGTTTAGACAGACTCCTCTGTCAATGCATTAACATTCATAATGGAAGGTCCATAACTTTATTATAGGCTAACTAAACAGGCCAATCATCTATTGCATCTGTTTTGTGGGTATGACGCATGTGCCTGTTGCATTTTATCTGTTTAAACCAGGAGGCTACTAATGCTTTATTCCTTCACGTTTTGCAGTGGAAGTGGGTGCAAATATGTAAAATAATCAATTCAAAGCATCAACATGGAGGATATCACAGAAAAAGTTGAGATTGACTCCATCTTCTGTAAGAATAAAAAAGAAAGTTTTAGTAAGGTATCCTTCAAAACAAACTTTATGCCCTCAGTCTTTCTTTAACCTAAGAGCCCTTAAAATACATGCCTATCAAAGAAACTTAATCTATACACCTTTTATGCATCTGTTTGCTTATGTTTCTGAATGCAAATACCTTTGAAAAAGATGAAAATGATTCATGTCCTCTTTTCAGTTTTCTATGGTACATTTCACAGTAAGTTTTGAGCCAACACTCCACCCCTGTCAGCAGGTGTGACACAAGTGTCGGTCAGTTATGAGGACAAAAACATTCTGCTTCGTCAGCTTTGTCGTCATTTCCTGATCTCAGGAACAAAAAGAGAGGTTTATTCTTGGTTGACTGTTCGTCATTGTTAAAGATAGGGAAAGTTTGTTTTAAAAGACTGGTGTCCAGATGACTCACAGCTAACAAAGCTTTGTTCTTGAGCTTTGGCTGAGCGGCAGCCCATTAGTTTTTATTATATTTTAAACATTTGTGAGAAGTTTACTCTGTAAAAAGAGCCCAGAATGGTTCAGGATGGGGCTTTCATGGATTTCTGTTTGGACATTTTGACATTTTTTTCTAGGTAAACCCAGTCTCAGAAGCATGAATCATGATTTACACTTTGTGTGCTGATTCAGTGTCTGTCTGCAGGGCAACACAATAGACTCCCTCTCGTTTGTCTCCCCTGTGGGCTGAATGTATTTAGCACTGGCGATTCACTCCCCAGGATGCCAAGTTATTTCTTATTTCAATGATTCTGCTGCGTTAGTGAGGGACTGTCTGACCCTGCTAAGCCAGACAGCAGCTGTTCTGTTCTGGGATCAGTCAGATGCAGTCTCACACTGAGATAACTTCGCAGGTACATCCTGAGAAGCAGAAGACCCACATGAGCGCCATGCTGCATGAGCTCAAAGAAGGACTCAAGAGTCATGGGGGCTTATTACTCTGAATGCTGGCATTGATGTTGGCTGCACACAGTGAAGATGGAAGTTTATCCTCTAATTAAGTGTTTTCTCTCTTAATCTCACATTTTATCATTAACTTAAATGAGTAGGGTTTTATAAATTTCATTTCTAAACCAATGCAATTGTTTTGTGTAGCAAACAGTAGACTCTGATAACACCGTTCATTGGGTTACATACTACAACTTTGTAACACTGAGAATTTGTGCTGTCATCATCCTGTTTAAAAAACAAAATCTGAAATAACAATGCAACAGTGTGGATTCCAGTTAGGTGAAATCCTGGCTGACATGTGGCCTTGGTAGTGACTAGTCAATCACAGGCAGTCATGGCCTTACACATTTATTTATTTATTTACATCAAACTGATCTACAACTGCAATAACAAAGCTATTGAAAGGACTAAGTAGTTTAGGAAATGAGAAGTCAGTTTGAAAGTTGGCAGGTTTTCTGAAGTGTTTTATGCTCTTTTTGCAAGAAGTGGGAATGCCCTCTGCTGGCAATATAATGGAATGACAACGCCATTTCCAGCCTTGAAATCGAAGGGTTTCTCAAACTCTTAATCCCTACACACCAGGGGGAAGAACTTTAGTATGTTAGGTATGTCTTTTTCTGCAACATGAATACATGATGTACATTACTTTATAGCAATTTTTTTTTAAACAACTCTGACCAACAAACATGAAGTTTTATGATTTAATGTCACCTTGATGGAGTAAGACTGGCATTATTTGTGTGTTGCTGTTAATAAATATGATGAATGCAGTGCGTGACATCAAGAATATCAGGGAGCTGGTTAAATTATGTCTTGAAGCACAAATCCCAAGCCTGCTGAGAAAAAGGGAAAACAAAAATTAACCACCTGACATCTTTATAAACCACGCTGTATTCTCTGACTCCAGATTCTATTGACATAGTAAAGCTATACGTTCGTTGACCTTTGTTTTCTCACCTGTGAAATATTTGTGTTGCTTTGCTCGTCTGAGAAATATAGGTATGAGTATATTCCTGTAGACTAGAGGGCACCCAGTGTCTCTTCAGCTCCTTTTCAAACACTTGCAGGGAACATTATGTCCAACTCTGGTACATGAATCTTTCTGATCTCAAATTGAGCTGGCTTAAGATTACCTAATTAATAAAAATAGAAAATAAGTTAAAATATAAAGAGAGCTAAATTATTTCCACAAAAAGTAGCAGAAAACATTGATTTATTCTTCTGTATATATAAAATATTAAAAATTAATGATAACAGGCTGTTATTCTATGTTCTACATTTCTGAATAGAACTCTATAATTTGACAAGAAGTCTGCATCTTTATTTCATTTCTTTAAAAACTGCACATTCAAGAAGATTTCAGATTTCTTCCACTTCTAAAAGATATAAACTATGCTTCTTTGACCAGGGAGTAAGTTAAGTAAAGAGGGTAAAATTGTGGTAACATTTTCATCTCTCCCTGATTGGCTCCTGAGGAGTTGACCCAACATTCCTCAGCGTTTTGCTGCAGCACTTTTTTCCATTCTGGTCATTCCCTGCACACATTCAAAGTTCACACTGCCTGCAACTTTTGACACATTTGAAGACTGATTTTTGGAATCACTGGAAACATGTTTGCCTCAGCTGTGCTTGTCTTCACCTTGTGTTTGTGCTATCTGAATCCTACCGTTGGACAGGTGAGTTAGTGCATTTATACGGCATAATGAAATAATTAAGGAGTAACAATTGGGTGCCTCAGTATGCCATCAGTTTTGTGAAAGGACTCTTGACACAAAGAGGCAGTTCTATTTTATCTATATTGAACTACTTGATTGAAGCCAAATTACCTTTAAAATCGTATTCATAGATTGAGAGGCATTTACAGCTCTCACCTCTTAAGACTGCTAACCTCCAATAGCTGCATCTTTTTTTGAATTACTCTTAAGCATGCCTTCACTTGTATCTTAGTCTTTACATGTGTGCTTGTTTGTGTATTACTATGGGTCAATAATAATGTAAATGTGATAGTTTATGGCGTGTGTGTGTGTGTGTGTGTGTGTGTGTGTGTAAAAGTTGTTTAAAGTTGCACTTTAAGTGTTTTAAAGTTGTTATTCATTTAAAATGCCAAATCTGGTTAGATGGAATAGTGCAGTATGGTGTCTCCTGCATGTTTCTTACACAACCAGTTAACATGCAACTATGTGAAATGTAACTTAGCACAGGCAGAAAGAGGCCTTTGACAACTACACTATAAACACCAGCCACCCCCTGACTGACTGAAGTCTCTCCAAACTCCAGTTCAGTCCAAATCAGAAAGGTGTTTTCAACAAATATTGACTTTTCTTACATAACTCTGGCTGGATGAAAACACTTATTGGTTGTCTGAGAAACATACATCATTTGAGGACATGGCAGACAGGGATAAATGTAGCTGTTGAATGAAGGAGGGGACTTGGATGAAAAACATGTCTTTGCCCCTCCCTTGTCACTCCAGCCAATAAAGTGGCAGGTAGTGATTTGTTTATGCTAAGGGCATTTAAATCCAGACAAGAACATTAACTCCACCACTTCATTCAGAAATAAAGTGATCATCCATATGCATGTTCAATTACTTTTTGCTTATATCATCCCCCCTCCTGGAGTTACATAACTGCATGTAATGAAGACTTTAATCTTCCACATGAGGTCACACCCAAAGACCACATTACAAGACTGGTCAACAGGTTACCTTCAGAGAGTGTTTCTGTTTTTATGACTGAGTTACAGTGTGTGGCTTGGAGAGGAGGAGGTTCCTGCTTGCAAAGACCTACAGTGGTCACACTTACTCTGATCCTACTGCATTTACTCCCTCATATAACAGCTCAGCCTCTGTGCTGCTCAAACTGCACAGAGACTTTATTTTTTGTTTACTTGCAGTAGAGAGGTCTCTTGTTTTCATGTTTTGGTTACAAAATGGATATTATTTCATACTGTTAATTTGATTTTAACCTTCTGCTCATGCAGCTGTGCAATACGATAGACTTATTAAAGAGTGCCATCAGATATCCCTAAGTGTTTGAAGTTAGCAGCATATATCTGCTCAACTGTGAGACACAAATTACAAGTACGTACACAGAAAAAAGGCTGAGGTAAGACATGATGAAAGAAATACACTGAAGTGGCTGACGACGCAGCAGAATCCGCTATACCAAGCAAAATATAGCAACAAGAATGATCTCATAGAAAGTGAAGTAAAGGATCTGGTAGAGGAGGTCAGGTGACGACATGGCTGATTTGAAGTGGAAACGTGCATGGCTGGGAAAAGTTTGATGGCATCTGGTGGAGAATTAAAGGACCTCAGAAATGGGAATTTGACTGTTTAGCAGGAGAAGGGAGACAGACTGTGTCAGTAGCTTTCAAGATAAAAATAGTAACACTATATTTGTGGATGGAAGAATGAACTGTTAAAATTAGCTACCTTTAATTGAATGTTTACACCTTTGCTTGGAACATTATAGTTTCAAGAAATTTATCAAAATTGATCAAAACAAACAATTGTTTCATGATGTTTTCAGTGAAGTTCTTGTGTTATAACAATGATCATAATTAATGAAATAAGTCTGTTTTGTTCCAGGACTGTCAAAGTAGACAGGATCTACAGGGCTCTCTGAAGCAGATCCAGAAGCTCCTCTCAACATACGAAGCCTCTAATTTGCAAAGTCTGCGCAACCTTAAGAAGAAAATAAACCTGTTGCAGAGCACAGCTGGGAAGCAGATCACAAAAGCCGTCAACAGTTAGGAAAACCCTCCAAAGACTAATTCAAATGTTGTGCTTATCGTTGCTATGTATTTTTTTTATCACCTTCTTCTTTGCCAACAGGTACCTGCCCAAAACTGGACGCACCGATGAATGGAAGGAAACTTGGCAGGTCTCACAGTGTGGGCCATGAAGTTCACTTCCTGTGTGATCCTGGATACGAACTTGTAGGATCAGAGAGCAGGGTTTGTCAGGACAGCCTGACCTGGAGCGGCCAGCAGCCTGCCTGCCGAGGTGAGCGCTGATCTTCTGCTATGCAGGCCTCACCCTCCTTATTGTGATCCTGTTATCTCACCTGCTGATCACTTTTTCTTACATCCCTGTCATCATCCTCTTTGTTAGCATATCTGCTCCTGCTCTCTATTGTCATTCCCCTTTTTGTGCTCTATGCATATCACCAACATTTTTTTACATAGAGATACATTTCACATGTGAACCACGATCATATATCCTCTTTATGTACTTTGGTTGTTGTCCAGGGAGCTCACTGAATGCTGTGACATGTGATATTCAAACCTCCTCTGACAGCTTGCTGACTTTAAGATAACAGTTCAAAGGCTGTTTGATCAAGACAGAGATTCTTGTTACTTTTGGCTGCTGCTAACATTAACACATCCCGTCCTTATTCACTCTTGAAAAAGATGCCATGAGATCATGTTCACATCTTTTAGCATCAAACAGCCTGCACATGCCCTTGTGTCTTTAGAAGGTTCTAACCACTGCAACAGTTTTCCTTCGATGTATTTCCTTCCTCTCTTTTCTCTTATAGACATCAATGAGTGTGTGTGCTCTCCGTGCCTCAAATGGTGGGACATAGGTGGATGAAGCAAATAAATTCTCTTGCGTATGTGTTAAAGGCTACCTGTCAGAGCCCAGTGCCAACAAGTAGATATTATACACTGCACACACAGACCGCATATATGTGTCAGAAATGAAGATTTAATTCAGAAAAAAACAGCTTGGGTTACAACTACGAATGTTTCAATACTTTATCAATAGACATGCAACAAATACGAATCACTTTACTGCTTAATGCCATTCTATTGGCCATCGTTTATTTTTGCAAATACAATCTAATTGAATATACTACAAAGTGTCTTTTGTCTCAGACACCAATGCATGTGCGTGCTCTCCGTGCCTGAATGGAGGGACATGCGTGGATGAACGGAAGAAGTTCTCTTGTGTTTGTGCCAAAGGCTGGGCTGGAGCTACCTGTCAGAACCAAATGCCAAAATGCACGTATAATACACTACACACTCAGACCACACACTTTGGCTATCTAGGGTATTGATAGAAAATGTTTTCTTGAGCTCAGGAGAGGCATTTAACAAATAAACAACCCTTCACTGCACAGCACACTTTTTTTTATAATGTAGCACTCAGATCCTCCAAGTCAAGTTAAAGGGGATTAAATCGACCAGGGGTTTGGCTGGGTTATAAAATCCAGTGCAACATTCAACAAAATGGGTTTTTACTGAATTCCAGGTGTGAAGGCCAAGACGAAGATGTTTGAGTGGCAGAGGTCACGAATACAGACTTCAAATCTTTGTAGCTCAGCTTGTGTTTTCTTCTATTTATTTAAAAGCTCCATGCTAGCATACCGTTTATTGCTTTACATCTGTTTCTCTGGACCATGGATATACCTATAGCTTATAGTTATTTCAGAGTTTTTAAATTATTCATGCTAAATATCGACTCAACAAAAAAAACATATACTTATTGTAAAAGGATGCCTTTTATAATTAATAGCTTTTGACAATAATTTGTTTAGAGTGGGATTTTTGAAATGGAAAAATAAACTTGACAGTGATTTATGATGCAAACCTACAGTATGTAATGTGATCTGCACCAAACTTGTGTTGATGATGATGCAGCATTATCATTAGAAGTTTTAGTCGAGACAAACTACCTTTAGCAGTAATGACACATATACATTACCTGTGTGATAAGATGAACAATGCATTTAAACTGCTTATGCATCAGTGACTTTATGAATTCACTTTTTTAAAGCCTCAGGAGAGACACAGAGTTACTGCAATGGAAATATTACACCGACAAATAAAATAAATGTCTGTTCCCTTTGCTGTCTTCCTCAATCAGTCTTTGTCATCATGACAAACACCTCTGCAGCCACCTCCCCAGCCACAAATGCTGCCGCAGCAGCTACCTTACCTGCTGCCACCTCAGGGCCCTTTGTCCGTCCATCCCGTTGCACTTTAACGCAGGGGACCACCCACTGCACCTGTGAGCCAGGATACACCATCTCTGGCAGGGATAGCAACACCTGCACTGGTATGCACAACACCTTTAACTAAGACAGATGTTCACATTGAATGTGTCACTGTATGAAGGTAACTGCATGTATGAACTTTTCACTTCAGATATAGATGAATGTGAGCTGTTCCATAACGGTCAGGCTGGGAGACTCTGTTTGCACACTTGCATTAACACACCTGGAGGTTACCGCTGTTCCTGCCCTGTTGGATACAATTCCACCCGTGATGGACGCAGCTGCAAAGGTGCACCATGTGTTTTGTCCTGCTTTAACTTTTTGTTTGTTGTTAATAAAAATGTGCCCAAAATTACAAATACTATTAACAAAGACTTTTTTTTAATGTTGCTGAAACAACTCTTTGCAACAAAGCTTTCAAACTAAAACAAACATTGAACACCTTTTGCCATCTTTTTTTTTGACAAAATAACAGAAATGGATTCTCTTATATCATAAGCATTACTCTAAATAATTGTTTATACTGTGTCGATGTTTCTTCTCAGATATTGATGAGTGTGCCACCAGACAGAACAATTGCACAAAGGACCAGACGTGCATTAATACATATGGAGGTTTCCAGTGTGTACATGTGGATTGCCCTAAAGTTCCTCATGCAACATATGTCAAGACGTCACCCATGTAAGCATCACCCATGATATTATTTTTTAATGTAAAAGTTTCCCTCTTATTGTTTGATTGATTTAGCATTTGAGAAGCACAGCAATCATTTTGAATGGAGATGATGATCAGATAAAAACTTCCACAGATTGAACTCCATTTATCACACTTGTATTAACTTTTCATCTGCATCTTATTCTCTTTTCACCCCTTCCAGGCGTTGTGAGCGTAACCCCTGTCCCTTGGACAACAAGGCATGCTCTCAGACCCCAAACTCCTTCTCCTACCATTACTTGGCTGTGGTTTCCAATCTGTCAGCTCCTCGTGTCATGTTTAGAGTTTCAGCGTTGCGTCCAATGGGTGACACACTTCGCTTCTCCCTGCTGGGTGGAAAGCTAGCTCGGCGCCACTTCACAGTCCAGCGCTCAGACCGGTTGACAGGTCAGCTGATGCTGGTGAGCCCCGTGCAGGGTCCTGCCACACTCGAGGCTGAAGTGGAGATGAGCGAGCTGGAGAAGGGAGTCCAGCTGGGGAGGTTCATCACCAAAGTCACCATGTTTATTTCTCAGTACGAGTTCTAGAAAGAGAGGGGTAGCTGTAGGAAACACACAAATAAGAACAAAGGGCAAACAAAAGGCTGGGTTGGTATGAAATTAATCATAGCATAAATCAATCTAAAGAACACGGCACAGTTTCTAAAGGAGTTTCTTCAGGTCAAAAAACGGAAACATCAGCAGCCAACATATTGACTCTCAAGTTCAGCTTCAATGTTAGTGTGATGTGTTTGTGATGTCTCAGGACAAGAGCGTATGTAAACATATTTAATGCACAAAGATAGCAACGGGTCTGGTTGGTATAAAACGGGAAAGACATGTAGCAACCAAAACAGTGAAACAGCATTCAAGTAGAAAAAACATGTTGTTGCCATGTATGTTTAGTATACTGGAAATGTTATTTTAACGTTTAGAGAGTTTGAGTGTTTCTATGTACATTTAAGTTTGACTTCTAGTTTCAAAGAAGCTATAATACCTTTGCCTCTGTTACAAATATTAAAAAAATGTGGAAACCCTGAAAATGTCATCCTTTTATGTCCAAAGACGAAACATGCTTTCTTTTAAATACTGAAATTCCTGAACTTTCTTCCCCTTGAAATATACTGCAAAAGCTTTGATACAAACATGTTTTAGCAGTGATATGGACTGGTTTCACTGGAAACAGCAGTTCCTGCAGTACAGCAGACAGCAGTGCTGTTCAGCAGACCAACAACAAAACAGGCTTCTTAAAAAGCCCCAATGTTCTCACAGTACAGCAACAACTTGAACCTGTAGAAATGTAAAAAGAGGACACTAAGAAAAATGCTTGTGCGTCATGCTGTGACCAAGACTTACCAATGACACCACTGAGGGGGAAGCAGGTGGGGCTGCGTCTACGGGTCCCTGAAACGAGATTGCACGCTGAGTAAAGAAAAAAAAAGATGCATAGAGATAGGCAGGCAGACAGAGAGTGATGGCTGAAAGGAGCAGGCTGAATAGAGGACGATTCACTCAAGCCAGTCAGTCACAGGCTGAAGGGTGCAGCCTGAAAAAACTGCTGTCTTAATTACCAGCTCAGAATAGAGCTCTCACTGTTCCTCACTCTGTTGCTGCCTCTTCTGTCTTAATGCTAGAAAAAGCAAAGAGGGGGGTAAAATAGGAGGCCATTCCCATGTCTGTCCCTCAGGGAGAGGTGATGACTCAGTCTCCAAAGTTCAGCCAGACTGCTTTTCGACTTTCTGTCCCTGCAAAGCTCCCAGCCCAGAAACACAAATGATACCCTTCTTTAGGAATCTTAAGCTTACTGTCTCTGTGTTTATCTGCATTGTTTGCTACTAAGTCCATCCTGGTGCACAACAGTGACTAAAAATATTCTAACTGGGAGCTAAGAAAATCTACCTCGTCTGAAATCTACTGTTTTGTCTGCACTCTTTCACTTTTCACCCCTACTTCTCCTCCTCTTCACCTCTACCTTTTTTGTATCTCATCCAACTTCTCATCCATCAGTCCCCACTCCTCCTCTGCCTTCTCCACCAGTCTTTTTTGTAAAAGCACTCTTGTACAGTTTAGTGAAGTCACACCATACAGATACAAAAACCCTCCTAATGAGTGCTGGCTGTGTGGACAGGCTTGAAATCATATCCTGATCTCAGTCTGGTTGTGAGGTCTGGTCATGTGAAACCATCACACTCTCTTTGACAGCAGGCTGGGTTTTCCACTGGTACTTACTTTTTGAAAGGAAATACCTCAGCCTTCTCTGAAGTTTAATGGAACAAAGAAGAGTGTGACTGGCTCTGCAGAGGGTGCAGACAGGACTCCACAATCAGTTTGGCTCTGGGCCATTAGATTTGGGCATGCAGGCAGGTGAGGGGAAGAGAGGCATGCCAGTCATTCCCACAGTAGTGGAAATAAGGTTCACTTCCCCTAATAAGACTGAAGTAACCCAACGCAAACACTACGTCCCACATAAATACATGTGTATCTGGTTAGTTTGTTTGGACAATAAAGGCTTTCTACCCCATTTAATGATAGTCTTCCTCACTTGATTTACACTTTAAAAATATATTGTTTTCTCTCTGCTTTGTCTCCTTTTTCTTTATTCCTCTTTGCATTCATTGCATTTGATATTATTACCAGTCAATTTTGAATAAGTATATTTCATGTTGGATTCAAGTAATTGCAAAAAAAGCCTGTTTATGGTTTGTGCATAACCATAATGTTATACTGCCCTCTGCTGCTCCAACAGAAGACATGCTACACTATTAGAGTGTACTGTGACAGTTTGTAACATACGTAGTGGAAAGGTACATTTATAATTTGACACAGTTACAGTTACAGCTGTTCTATGTTTCTACAGTAGTCACATTACATTATTGTAGTGTGCACATGTATCTTTTAAATGTATGGTTATTGTGATAACTCCCATCTGTGAATTTCTGTGTAAAAATCTCTTTATTAGATTACACATTGATGAAAGTTTGAAAGGTTGTCTAAAAACTTGCCCTGCCCTTTATCTGTAAATTACAGGAATATCTGTGTTGTCTTCTTGTGGAATATCTGCATCCTTCATCCTCCATAGTCCTTCATCTTTGTATAAAGGCTCTTTGTGATCCTCTCCCAGAGCAGCAGTTGATGGTGTGACTCCCAATGGTACAACAACGAGGAAGTTGTGGGAGACGTCTGATACCAAAGGACTCTGCTCATTCATTCATGGTTGTAGGATGTCAGAAGCTGCAGTATCTCAAAGTCACTTCCATTTTTTTCCTTACCCCCCCAATTAACAGTTTCGCATAAAAGTGATAAATCCTACTCAACAAAGAAGCAGTTTTTTAACAAAACTACTCCCACTCCTGTCCTGGATTTCTAACTGATACAGTCCTGCTCCCACAGTGGGTGTGGTGTGAGCACCTGCAACATGTGTGTCCGCCCGCATCCACAAAAGAGAGATATTTTTTTAAATATATTTCTCAATTTCCTTATGTATCTGCAAACAGTCAGCCCGAAGCAGTGTGATGGAAATAACATGTAACAATTAAACATATAAATCTACTAAGAACTACAGATTCTGACCTTTGACCCTTAACGTTCAGAACTACAAGCAAGGTGTTCAATTACAGGAATGATAAACCTGAGGAATCTGTATTCATTCTGTCACAATACCTTCAACATTAAACACTGCAGCACTTATTCAGCAGTCTGAGCAAATGTTTTAATGTTAGCGTATTTTTATAAATATATATTTCCAGGGAAACTATTTATTAAAAAATAAAGCCAGTAGCATAAAACAAATAATCCCAATACTAAAGTGTATTTTTTTCTTACAACCCTAATCTGCATCTTCACTTTACAATATTTATATTAGTAATGTATTGCAGTCTTGTATCATTATGTACAAAGAATTCCTGCATCACTGCTAATGAAATATACGGTAGTCTGATATCCACAGCAGCAGATAAACTGTGTTCTGAACTACTTGAAAAAGTTTTGTGGTGAACCAGTCCTCAGTGAGGAGGTCTAGACTAGAGGATCTACATCCTGCATTGCCTCTTGACCTCACTGACTCACACAACGCAGTGTTTCTGAGCTTTTTGCCCTGCAGGTATTTACATCACCTGCAGTACCCAGCATGTAGCTTTGTGTTACATTTTCACTTCAAAGCCCATCTTTGAATGACCACTGCAGAGAAATAATACGGCTTTTATGTTTATTGATTTTATAGATTTTAATCTCTGCTTTGTCTCCCTTTCAGTTTACTTTCAGAGAGTTTCTAAATTTGTTTTTGAATTGTTCACCTCTACAGTTAAATGCAATCCAATACAGCATTTTTGTCATTAAGTACACTTTTATGATACCTAAAATGTTAAGTTAAAGTGGTTACTAAATTGAACTCAGCACCAATCTTACAATCTAAGTCAGTGGTTCTCAAACTATAGTACGCCAGTGGTACGTGGGCTCCCTGTGGTGGCTGACAGAGGACCTTATCGCTCCCCCTCTCTCTTGCTCTGAAGCCCAACGTCGGGATCTGACGTCAGCCCAACGTCGGGATCTGACGTCAGCCCAATGTCGGGATCTGACGTCAGCCCAACGTCGGGATCTGACGTCAGCCCAATGTCGGGATCTGACGACATGAAAACTTTCATTTTGAACCCTGTAAGGATGTCAGTTGGACGTCGATAGTAAACGTTTAAAAGACGATAAAAACCACGTCTCTTTAACATTCAGTATGGACGTCTACAGGACTGCCTTATATGGTTCGGCTTGAACATGTTTGTGACATCTTTCTTGGACGTTAAAAAGATGTTTAAAAAAGACTTAATAAAAACTTTCATCCTGAACCTTAAGGTGTCCTTAGATCCAAAAACAACAACATAGCCCCAATCTCTACTTGATATGGCTTGCAATTTTTCATTTTGTGTAGTTATTGTCAAAATGTTCAGTTCCTCTTCATGTTTATCCATTAGGGTGTTACATGTTGTTGTCCTGTGCTGTAGTGCATGACAGGAACTTTTTATATTCTTCCCCTCTGGTTTGTGTAAACAATGTTATCTGATTAGAATTTGCTATGAGGTTGTAGTTAGTGGTGGTGTTGCATTGCCATCATATATATAAATATAGAGGACAAAAATAGTTACACCTTTAACTGTAAGGCTTCATTTACATTAACTACACTAAAGACATCAAATTAAATGTACAGTATGAAGTCTGGTAGCCAACCATACATTTAATAATAGGGGGCTCACACACAACAGAGGCTAACATTTTCCAAAATGTCAGTGGCTCTTTCCCCCCTCCATATGTCATATATTATCAAACTTAAAACTGACCATATACATCATAGCATGACTGGTCTACCTAGATACCTTTTTCATTTAGTCTTCCTCCCACTTTCATTCATGTCTGTTTATCTGTAATCCATAAGGCTCTCTTTCTTTCTCCACCTGATCATCCTCCCTTATTCTTTCTCACACACCAGCGGAAAAGACAACAATGTTGAGTATCTCAAGGCCAAGCTTGTCCTACAGAAAGATAAAAACCTCGATTCCCAAGCCCTGACAAACAGTTAGTGCAGCATCGCTGACTGGTAACTTGTATCTCCTCCTCCAACCAGAGGCACAGAACAAACATCAGCCTTCGTCTGCCGCGAGTCTGAGTCCAACGCTGTTGATCTTTAGATTGACCATCCCCTCGCATGCACCATGACCTGTGTGTTCATTGTAATGATGATGTTTCTTGGCTCTTCAATGGTGATGGCATTTGTCTTGCAGCCATCCAGGGAAAAACTTGCAGCCTCTGCAAACTCCAATCACAGGTCAGTATCAGACTGTATTGTCCAACAATGTTTGTGCATAATGTGAAGGTTTTATGTTTATGGTGCAGAGGTTAAAGGAAATAATCGTTCAGGGTCCCTTTGACTTTTTCATTTTACGGATTATTGCACAGAGAGATTGTCTGTTAGGCTTCAGCACTTAAGCAAACCAA